CTATAATTAATTACGAGAATTAAAATTAATTATTTTTTTAATCATTTGACAATTAATTAATTAAAATTACAAGGGTCAGGATATTATATTTCATTAAAATTAATATTAATTAGTTTTTAAAATTATAATTAATAAAATAATTATTTTAAATTTAAATTTAAATTCAAAATAATTTGATGAAATAATTAGCTTTTTTGAAATATATATTTTAAAATATACAACAATATCTAAGTAAATGATATGCATTGTGAAGGTCTCAGACTAGAGTTTCAATTGACCTTAAGGAAAAATGATATATAAGATTTTCTTAATTTCTTATAAAATCTCTTTATGAAGAAATTAATAAATTTCATGTAATTAGTTATTAATTAGTATAATACATGCATGAAGTATGATAGCTATTTTGTGAGTGTGATAGTATTTTTCTTTATTTAATTTAGGTTTAAATATGTTGAAATTACTTTTAAATAGGCCAATTTTCAAATTACTACTTATTATTTTTTTTTTGTTTCAATTACCTGATTAATTTTTTTTTAATTTAATACCTGACATTAGTCCTCATCCGTTAAGTGATGATGTGACTGACAAACTGCCACGTCATCACTCAACAGTGTCTACCACATCATCTAAAGGACTGTCACATGGACATTTAGATAATGTGATAGATACTATTAGATGATGATGTGACAGTCTACCAGTCACGTCATCACTTGACAGAGAGAAACTAACGTTAGGTACTAAATTGAAAAAAAAAATTAAGTATTTAAAATAAAAAATAAAAAATTAATAAGTAGTAATTTGAAAACTTACGTATTAGAAATAGTAATATTTTTTGTTATTTGCTCTGTACCCATGTTTTCGTATTACCCTACTCACTTACAACCCTAAAAACTTTCCCGTGTTGATGATGAAAGGTCGCAGTTTTTGGGACATTGCTTCTTTCACTACTTCACCTTCTTCATCACCCTAATTGGCAAGTTCCCTTAATTCTGACATTTAACCAATGCTTATGCCACATTCAAAGAGAGGGTAAGTTGATGGTGACTGAGATATTAATTGATGCACTCTCTAGATCAATCGATGCATAATGATGTTGATGGAAGCCAATATTGCAGAAATTGCTATTTTTAACATTTTATATATAAAAAATTAATAGTATTGTAATTTTGTTACGAATCATGTCATAAAGTATGACACTATTCTTTTTTTTATATTTACCCAAAAAATACTAAAAAATTTATTACAAATTGACTTCAGTGTCAAATTATTTTAATTTTTTTTTTAAATCTCAACTATATAATATATAAACGTAAACAATAAAAAAAATATAAATGAATTTTATTATATAATCTACTCTGTATAAATTAGAATAATAATACAATATTTTTAGAGACTATTCTATAATAAGAGTGTTTATAGTTAATTTTTTTTCACAAAAGTATTTTTTATGAATTTTTCTTAAACTCTTATCTATTTTAATATATTATTTTAAATTTTAAATTTTTCATTAAATTTTCATATTTTAAAAATATTATTACTAGTTAAAAGTAATCTTGTATCAAAGTATAAATTATTTATTATAAATCTATAATTTATATATTAAAAATATTTATTTATTACAAATATTAATTATAATATAATTTATATATTATAAAATTTTAATATAAAAAAGTATCCATACACTGCACAAACCAAAATACTAAATAAATAGTAATGAAGGATAGTATAAATTTGAATCTTGTTATTATTGTAATTTTTATAAAGCAAAAGTAAAAAAAATGAATAAAATAGACTAAAAACTTATTTTACTGCCCATAACCTAATTAAATTCTGTGCCGTATAGTTGCATGGTTCTTTCTTTCTCATTATGAACAATGATGCAATATTTTACTTTTTGATTCATAATAATGATGCAAGTCATTGGCGTTAGAAAACACTCCACGTCCTCATCATATCTTGTTATCATGATCGATATCATCTCAATCCTAACTCAAAGATATGTACACACAATGGCTGGTCTTTTTCAAAGTCGATAACATTAATTTCACTGATTCCGTCGTCTGAATTCTCTGGAAAGTTCTTAATTAGCACTATGGTTGGTCACAGACTCAGACTTGAATTTAATATTTCTAATTGTACGTAGTGACGGATCCAGAAAGTTTAGATAGTGGTGGCAAAATTTATTTATATATTTGTAATATTAAAATTTTTACATATAAATTTTTAAAGTATAAATATATATCCTAATTATTTTTTACAAGTTTTTATATTTATGATTACGATTAAAGATGAAAATAAACTAGGTTAAACTAGGTTATATTATAATTTAATAGATTTGAACCTAAATTTCTTTTAAAATACATGTCCTAAATATGACTTATTTATTTATCATAAACATTTTTTAAATGTTTGGTTAGAACTATAATCTTAAAGATTTACTTTATAATAATTTAACACTAATAAAAATATATAAATAAATATGTTAAATCTTATAAAAATCAAGTTTGATTTATTTATGATATAAACATATTTTTCATACATGATATAAATTTTTAAATGATAATTTATTTTAAAACATATTTTATAATAAAAATTCTAAGTAGAACATAAATTTTCTAATCTTTTCTATTTTGATTTTTCTTAATCAATATATACAATAAATTGAAAACATAGAAGATAAACATACATGCTGCAAATTTTATTTTATCAAAAAATAATTTTTTTAATATATTACATTATATATGTGAGTATTAATATATATATATATATATATATATTATAATCAAATTTAAAAAAATTAATTTATTATTAAGAAATATTCTTTATTACATATGAAAATTAATCTTTTTTAAAAGTTTGACAAATATCAAATAAACAAATATTTTATCTAAATTTATATTTTATAATATGATAATTTAAAATATATATATATATATATATTATTAAAATATAACTTTTATTTTTAAAATATATTATTTTTTAATAAAAAAAACATATGTATAAAATAGTAGTGGGGGCAAGTGCCCCCACTCTATTCAACGTAGATCAGCCCCTAATTGTATGTATGGAATGGAAACTCCTTTCTTTAAAAAGGAAAAAAAAAAGTATGAGAAGACAGAATTGAATGGAACTATAATACCGTTCTATTCGGTTTATGTAATTAAGTAATTTCTCGCGCACAATTTAAATTATGAGTAAATAGTTTATGTTGTTCCATTATTATAAATAACTTTAGTTTGTCATTTAATCAGGAATTGATGATTATATATATATATATATATATATATATATATAATTAGTAATTAAAATTAATTAATATATTGATCATATGAGTAAAATTAAATAAGTATGATATTGATTCAAATTTAACAAGAGTCTAATTCAGTTAGTAGGTGTGTGAGTTATAGTAAATTTTCTTAATATTGAATTTGCAACACTATACGTTTTAATAAAGTGTTGCTAACTACATTTTCTTTTTGTGATTCATTTGTTGTTATGTTGTTGTGAAATTCTGAAATTAAGTAATTCTGTATGAGATTTAGGTTTTTAGAAGGTTTTATGGATAGATGTTCAATTTGATCCTTGAAGAAGGTATATAAAGTTTCTTTTGGAATTTGAATTTCATAAATTCATTTATCAAAGAACCTTAGAGAAAGTAGTGAGAATAGCTTTAGATTTTTGAAACCTTTTTCTTCTTTCTTAGCCTCCTAGGAGCCATAAAAGCTCTTAATTGAGTAGTTAGCTGACAATTCAAAGTTATAGGAGTTGAGAATCAATCTTATATTGGTGGTGGTGTGGAGTTCTCGGAACTCATTCATCTTCTTCTTCCTCTTTTCTCTCAGGTTTGGAGACTTGGAGGTAAGAGAAGTTAAATTCAAAATGTTGTTGAATTGTGAAGTTGCATGATGCTTGATCTTACTCAATTCGTAGTTGTGTTGATTGATTTTGTGTAAATTAGATGTTGAGATTGGGGTTTTGGTTCTTTCTTCAATGTGTTGAGAGAATTTGATGTTTTGTATGATTTGTGAATACATTTTGTTATTCTGAGTTGATTCAAGTTGTTGGTGATGTATATGAATGATATTTTGCATTGCATGTTGGAGATTTTTTAATTTTCAAGTGGTTGCCAAATTCATGAGCTTGCAAGTACAAAATTCATGTTCACATTGGGCGTGACTTGAATTAGGGGCCTCTATCTCACTCTCGTTGGGCGCAGGATTAGTGACACCAAATGTGATAAGAGAGAAAAAGCCTCTAACTTGGTCACGTCAAATGTGGTTTGAATGGCATCGAACATTGTCTGGATTGGTGTCAAGCATCAAATAAGTGACATTGAAAGTGAGGACAAAGAATCATCTCTACCTAAAATGGAGCCTAACATGGATTTTTTCACGCCAAGCATGAGGTCCCAAAGGTTCCTTACCTCATTCATAGTGGGTCTAGGTCAAATGGTGTTGGGCATGGGCGAGGTAGAGAGTTCTTGTTCTGAAGCTCTGACCAGATGAATAAAGCCAACCCCAGTAATGGTCAATAACTACAATGTCAATTTCTTCCAAAGGAAATATAAAGAAAGGTGTTATGACATCTAGCCATTTTGAAAGTGCCCCCTTACATAGATTCATTTATTTTGACTGTTATACATTGAATTATGGTTTATTTAAAAGTTTATATTTCACAATATTGGTGAAATAAAGAGTTGTTTTACATTAAATTAATATGTCAATACATAGATGTTTCCAATGTTTCTTTACACACAATGTTTCTAGATCTATGTTTTTAAGTATCTATGACTTTGTCAGCAATATATAATATATTTTTAAATATTTATCATGAATTAGGACGGAGACCAAGTCTTCAAATTCACAATTCAAATCCCTATTTGACATCCATGCTAATCAAACTTGGTACTCAAATGTACACAAACTTTGCTACATAATCTGAAACAATAAGTCTACACCAGAGTGGGAAGGGCCTACAATAATTGAAACTCCCTTCAAGAGTATCATGCCATAGACTCATAACAAGTTGTGAAGAAAACAAAGTAAAAAATAAAGAGAAGCAGAGATAAAAGGGACAAAAACCTGCTGATTTATCGGTGCTCCACCATAAGCAACAACCACCCTAACCCCAGTTTGGTATGAAAACTTTCTAGCCTCTTCATGTATCTGAAACCAAATTACAAGATTTCAAATATATTTCCATTGCAGAACCGTCTCCAATTAAAAATATGCCATAATAAAAGGTTAATAACAATAACTCACTTGCATTGATAGTTCCCTAGTTGGAGAAAGAACAAGCGCAAGCGGATGTGCTGTACGCACCCCACGAGGTGGCCTCTGCGCAGGTTGGCCCCTCATAATTCCACTGATAATCGGGAAACAGAATGCAGCTGTCTTTCCAGAACCAGTCTGCGCACAAGCCATCAAATCACGTCCAGCGAGGGAAATTGGAATGGTATGCCGCTGAACAGGAGTTGGCTTCACGTATTTGCACCTTCTTATATTCTGATTAAGTGCTTCACCCAAGTCAATCTCTGCAAATGTATTCACAGGTGGGGGCACATTTTCACCGCTGGTCTCCACTGGAATATCTTCATAGGCATCAAAATTTATTCCTGTATTCTCCTGCTCACTAGATGCCCCTTCTTCAGCAGTATCCTCGTCTCCAAAAGGATTGACTTCCCGCTCCCGGCCACGATCCCAGCCACTACTTTTGTTTCCCCATCCACCTGCTCGTCCACCACCACCAAACCCAGACCGATAATCATTTCTGGGTACAGGCCAACGGGATCCAGAATTACCAGCACCAGAACTAGAGCCAGCAGAACCTGAAGAAGGGTCACTATATGTTGGAGCAGGGGATTCTGCTGATGGCTGGCGATTCCTCAGATGGGGAGGAACATAAACAGGCCGCGAAGGAGCTACAGTACTACCAGTTCCCACATTGTTAGCAGAAGACCAAGTACCTGCATTTTCAGCTGCAGAATTTGCAGCCAAATCTGCCCATGAAGTTCGCATATTCAATCACAAATTCTTGTTGTCAACAGCTGTCCACAAAATTCCAAGGGAAAACCCTTCCTTTCCAGAATCGTGATAACACCATTACAAGTAGCCCCACATAAATAAATTTAAAAAAAAAAAAAAAACTGTTGATACCGATAAATACTCTTCAAAACGAACAAAAATTATCAGAACCAGCCCTGCAACACAATGGATTCCAATCAATAACCGTTGCGAACATCTTTACACCAAGGTATCATATAAAGCAGGAAGGGATTAGCAGAACACTTCAAATACAAACGAAAAAGGCACAAATATGCGTAAACACAAACTAAACAAATGAGAAGAACAAAACAATGAATGCATGAAACTAAGTTCATTCATCTGGAAATATCAAATAGACTATGGCAGAAGCAATCCTGGTCTAGAATGGCGAACCAAACACGATGTCTTTAAAAGACAAGCACGAATACAGCCGAAACAAAAACAGAGAAAGAATGGTGACAATAATAAGAATGAGCACCTGTGTAGTGTTGGGAATAAAACCCTAAAACGATGAGAGCAGTGAAGAATTAAGATCGAGAAACCCTAATTTGGTTTGGTTGCAGAAAGAGAAAGAGAAGAGAAGGCTCCTTCAGAGTTAAAACTTAGAAACAACAAAAATATCTTTTCTTTTGTACAGTAATGTTTTTCTCACTCTTACAACTTGAAACTCAAAACAGAATAAAATAAAATATTTTTATTTTAATGTAATACTCATTCTATTCTCTATTAGAAGTAAAAGAAGAAGAAAAAATTTAAATAAAAACAAATTTTATCTGCTCTCATTTAATGATATTCTCTAAAATATCATCTATTTAATGTATTACTTTTTGTTTGCACTATTTTTATTATTATTTATAATATAAAACTTTAAAAATAATAAATTAGTAAAATTTAATGTAAATAATTGATTTTTAATACAAGTAAAATCAGTATTTTGTTTTATAATAAAAATTAGAAAGAGTAGTAAATATGCATAATATATTGACAGAGAAAATCACAAAGAGGGTGAAAAAAAATCTATTATTATCTAAGTAATCATTAACTTTAATAATAATTATTTACCATTTATATTTGTTATTTAATAATTAACAATATTTTTTATTTACAAAAATTAATGTCGATTCCAAACAACTTACAATAATTCACCAATCTTATCAAACTAATTAAATTTGACTCTTTTATTAATTAATAATACAGAATCGTTTACACTAACCATACTAAAAAGAACTAATTACTTTCAAATTTCTAAAGTTGTTTAACATAACAAGTATTCATAAGTTTAAGTCGTACATGCAATACCATTTTTTTTCTTTTTTTTCTTTTTTTTTAATAGATTTTTGGACTAATTGATTTTTTTTCTTTGTAAATAAGGTTTTAAGTTTAGGTTTTAAAGATAAAAATTAAAAATATATATATATTGAAAACAAAACCTAACAAAATCAAATTTTTTAAGAAAAAATTAGTGTTTAACAAACTTAATACATACATCAACAACATGGATGAAAAAAAAAATCGCTTCAAGTATGATGTATTGTGTTCTAATTTTGTTGAAAGAGAAATAATGAGCAAGGGATTTTTTATGTTGTAAGTTTGGTGCTGACAATTTTAAAACATAATCATACTTTATATGCTGAGTTATATTTTTGTCTTTTATTTTTTAAAATTTATTTTAATCATTTATCTTTAAAAATATTTATTTTGATTATTTGTTTTTCCATTTTAAGTCAATTTAATCTCTTTAAAATAATGATTATTTTTATTTTTGAAACACAATTTTAAATTATTTTTTGATAGATTTAAAATTTAAAACTTGTCTTATTAGATTCAATCAGATGAAAATTATTAAAAATAAATGCAATTCAAACCAAAAATAAGGTTAGATTTATATAATATTTTTTTATATATCGTTTTCTCATATTTTCTTAGCATAAAATAAGGTTAGAATTTTTTTCAATGTTGTTATTAGGCTCGTATGTTTGATCATTTAATCACGAAGTTCACAACATAAATATGAACTAGAAAAAAGATAATTTATTTCACAAATTAGGCTTATCCAACTTGTTAAAAATATAGACTTTGTTGGCCAAGCACCCATCCTTAGTCGCAAGTAAATCTCCATTGTTAACAATCTCCACAACTCCACAATCTCCTCAAAAGATCACCTCCAACACCACGCTCCTACCGCACAAACTAGAGGTTCTCATGTTCATGTTGTTCCAAATAATTCATCATGACAGCTAAGGAGAGAAGAATTAAATCTTGACCAAGGAAAGTAAGGACAAAATAGAAAAAGGGAGAAAAATAAAGAAAATAAATATAAAAATTTAATAAAATATATGGACCAGATTTAAAAATAAGATAATCTAATGTTTAAAGAAAGTTTCTCACATCAAGAGACATTTTGAACCTCCCCAACATAGCTTCCTTTTGAGGAATACTAAAATACAAGTATTTGGAAGTAATCAAGAAATTTCGCTTTTAAATTTTCTTAAATGATCTTTTCCTCAATTTCAAAACACTTGCATTTAAAAAAAAAAAAAAACATATTTAGTTCAGATTTTAAAAACAAACTAATGTTATGTTTAACAATCACCTTTTCGACAACACCAATAACACCACCACCATCACTCATTATTACCATCGTTCTCACCACCGCTAATACGAATATCACCATAAACACACTTTTAAGTAATTTTAATAGAATAGATGATTTTCAAAATAAATTTATTTTAGAACTAAAAATACAAAGAAAACTGAAACTAACCTAATTGTAGTTTTAAACTTGTACAATTTAAACTGAAAACAACCAGCAAGAGGCCCTTAATAAGATATTAAAAGGACATTAAAAGAAAAATCCACTACGAATACCTAAAAATTGCCACAAACATAGAGAACATGGAACCGTCCAACAGGTATTGACTGTGTTATGACTTGAGAATTCGAGGTACACGCCGAAATAAATACAGGCATCCTCTCTTCTAAACTCTAACAAGTTAATTAAAAGACCGGCATACAAGTACATTCTTAATTCTATGATAATTTTGCACACGCTCTAGTGTACAAGGTAATAAGATAATCTTGCCCTTAATCCAGGTAAATCTCTCCCATGATATATATACGATCCAAACATAACGAATATGTTATCATACTAGTCACCCAGGCACACAAGGTATGCTCAATAGAAAGCATATGCAGTAACTTTTAGTTCACTTCAGTCACCAGTATGATATTACAAAAACCTTTGCCCATCAAAGTAGGGAAATATTGAATTCAAACATAAATTGGGTTGAAATTGAGAGAGCATGCTTGAGAGATAAGTCAGATAACCATGACCGGGTTATAACAAAAAGCTCGATTTCTCCCTTGGAATAATCTACAACCAGTCTCCCACCAAAATTACCACCCAACATGAAGGGGACAAAATGTTGTCGACAAGAAACACCTAATATGTTAGTAATCATCAATACCTAGCAACATTACACAACTTTTAATGATGTGGCAACTAGACCACATATACAAACCCCATCCCCCCACAATGATTAGCACTGTAAATAGTACAAAATGATGATGGCTTAAAACACAAGTAAATTGAAGACCTTAAAACAAGAGGGGAGAAAATTCATCCTGTAGATGTGTAACCGCACCCATACCAAAGATGGTATGTAATGCTACGAAAAAAAGAAAGTTAGTCCCATGCACTAGTGACCCCAGGACCATACCCTCCACCAGCATATCCACCAGAGCCTCCATATCCACCACTGCTGTTTCCTGCACTGTAGTAATCTGAGGAACCTCTATTGAAAGAGCCCTCTCTTCGAAAGTCGCGACTACCAAATCGACCACCTGAACGGCGGTTCCTCCCTCCACCAAAAGAAGAACGAGCAGCATACCGTGAGAGCCAAGCAGGTACTTCTTGATTTGCTTCTTGCATCAGATCTGCTAAAGCTCTAGCAAGTGATGAATTGTTATCATTAAAGAATGCAGTAGCAAGGCCTTTCTTTCCTGCTCGACCTGTTCTACCAATACGGTGTACATAATCATCAATATCATTTGGCAGGTCAAAGTTGACCACATGAGCAACATGGGGAATGTCAAGACCACGTGCAGCAACATCAGTGGCAACCAATATGGGGGTTTTGCCACTTTTAAATGACCTCAATGCTAATTCTCTTTCCTGCAGATATTTCAAAATCGATATGAACACAGTAAGACAAACAAGTATATACATAACAAAATAACACTGATGTACAGTCCAGGACAAAACCCAACACTATGAAATGGTAAGAGGTAAAAGGGTTCCAGCATAATGAGTGCAACAAGTTGAATAGCAATTTCAGAACACTAACTACCAAGCAAAATAATGCTAGAATCCAGAACCATGACCCTAATAATGAGCGACCAGGACAAAAAAATAATATATAAAAACACTTGTTAGCTCCAGCACCGGACAAACCAATCACTAATAACATCAGAGAATGACTGCAAAACATGTGCCCAAAATAAAAAGATGTCCAAAAAAGCAGCATCATTTTAAAGCTAACAACACGGCCTGTGACAGAAAAACCAATTATTTTATAGGAATAACCACTTGATGACTGGCTCATCCAACGTTTGACTTGCAAATCTTACAAGACTCAAGATTTTGTGCTTTGTATTAGAGTTAAAAGAATATTCAAAGGAATGCAGTACACAACATTAGAATTCGATGATGCAGGAGAATCATAAGGAAATAGTTCATGCCATTAAGGCTAATGGAAAAATGAGCAACCCATTTTTTAATTGTTTCTTTTCTTGACATCCATTAATAAAAATAATAAATAAATAAATAAATTGCTCAAACCAACTTCATTGGCTGTGGAGGGTTCTTGGGCCAGTTTGTTTAAAAAAAAATTTAAAAAAATCTAGGAAAAGGTGATTTAAAAAAAATTAAGGCAGATAAGAGTTGCATCTTAAAAATAACAAAACAATAAGCATTTTAGACAAACACATCCAATAAGTATAAAACTGCTTATTTTATTTTTTTAAAAAAAATTGCTTTTTTAAAGTAAAAAATGTTCAAACAAATGGGCTCCTTGAGTCCTTGTCCTTCTCCGATCTTCCCTTCTCAGTTCTGATTTCTCACATCTTCTATTGCTTCACTGTTAAGGTGAGACAGCAAGATTGGATGTTCTTCCAAGATGTTTTTAGAATTTAAAAATTTTTCCTTCTCCATAAATGTGCCAAGGGCATCTTTAGCTGTTGCTTACAAATTTAAGGATTGGATACTAAAATTTATAATTACTTTAATGGTTCATTTTATCCTTCGATAGATGCTTGTTTAAGCAACTGGTGTTAAATGAGGGAGTGCCCACTTAAGAATATACAATCGAGAGCAAAGGTGCAAATGTTCTAATTGACCCAAGACGTGTTCATTTTCTTGACATGATATATAACCTATGACCATGAATTATATTTTAAATGTGAATTTCATTTTCTCAGATATAATAGCTCTTTTACTTAATTGAGATGACCAATCTTAATTTGTACAGAATTTTTAAACCAAAAGCATTGGTTTGAGAGAAAGCAGATGGGAGTGAAAATTATTGGAAAAACAAAATCACAATACGGAGAGAGCATACCAATTCAGGGAACGGGGGATTCACTTCAAATAGCTTAGTATTTTGACTATAAACAAAAGTCAATGAAAATATGGGGAAGGCAAAATGTGGCCAATAGAAGGCAAGTTGGATTTGTATTAAATGTATCATTTTTTACCACAATACCAACCATTTTCATACAAGTGTTATGCTACACAACATTCATTAAAGCCATATGAAAACCAGTTACGACAAGAGAGCTGTTTACTATTAAGATTTGGGCAATGGACTAACCTGCTGTGACCTGTCACCATGAATAGTAGTTGCAGGAAAACCATTAAGACACAACCAGTGTTCCAGGGAATCAGCTCCCTTCTTCGTCTCCACAAAAACTAAAGTCAAGGCTTGCTACAAAAAAACAAAAAGCATGCATGAAATAATATTATAAATGATGATAATTTAGCAAGAGTTTACTCTTAAAAAACAAAACAAATAACTACACAGTAGAACAAAAAAGATTATCAATACTGCAAATCCTCCATACAAACAGTAATATAAAGGTAATTTTGCATGTGTATAACCAGACACAGATCAAAATAATTAATATTAATATTTAATACAACATAATTTATGCATTGACCTGAAATGTCAGGGAAACAAATGGCATACATGTTGCTCAGAATCAGTTTAGACTCTTTTTTAGATGTTTCTTTACAAAAATTGTTAGTTTGGTATGCCCTATCTTACTATCTGTTAGCATCCATCTTCTACTCATGTTAATTCTTTAAAAAAAATGCACCGAGTAGATGAACATGAGCATCACTCAGAACAAACCATCCCAAGTGGGTCAGGATAGTTACAAGACAACAGTCATTGAGAAAAGCTCTGGTATTTCTCTTGGAAACCTGACAATAGACAATTGAGAAAAGCTGTAAATTCATTCACAGCATATTGTTTTAAACCTAATGGATATAAGCACCAACACAGCTTGAATCAACTCAAAATTTAATTAATTTCTAAAATCACTTGTGTTAAGTTTTATGTAAGTGTACCTTTCCTTGTACACCATTTGCCCTCTGTGCATGAAGAAGATCCATCAGGTGACTTCTCTTGTCAGACTCTTGAACATACTCGACTCTCTGGACAATTAAATCAGTACTTGAACCCACTCTTCCAACAGCGAGGAAAATATATTTTGAAAGGAAATCAGAAGCCAATCTCTGCATATCAACCACATTTCATAAAAATAAATAAGTGTTGAAAGTTATAATATACACAACAAATAGGTATTCATGCATTATTTATACCTCTCAAACCACTTATCTCAAATCAAATTAAAACAACAAAATAACATTATAAGAGCACTCTTTCTGAGACAACAAGACCACGGAAGAAAGTATGTGATTCCACAATACACAAGAAAAATGCATATCAGATTCAGAGCAATGACAACCTAAGCCCTGAAGTAAAACCCATCTCCCTAACACATAAGTGCACAGACTTGAAATTTCAACCAGCACTAAATATCAAAGGAGTCCATATGCCGGCCCTAGAGACAAGGGGACAACAAAAGGGGAGGAAGCAAGCCTAACTGCCTCAGCCCTCATGAAGTAGAAAAGGTAGCAAAATTAGAAACATGTTCTTATTAAAAATCACATGCCAAATGAAAGCATATTTTACAGACTATATCAGACCTGTATCTCTTTCGGAAATGTGGCACTGAACAACATAGTCTGTCTAACACCAGGTGGAGGCATGTCCATTTGTTGAACAATCTTCCTTATTTGCGGTTCAAAACCCATATCCAGCATCCGATCTGCCTCATCTAAGGCCAGATATCGAATCATCTGCAGTGAAACTCTAGCTCTCTCCAGCAAATCTACCAGTCTTCCAGGAGTTGCAACAAGAATGTCCACCCCTCTTTCAAGATCCCGCAGCTAGAGACAATATAACTTGTTAGGTATATACCAAAATCTAAAAGATCTTACTATCATTTAAAGGAAAAACTTCATAAGTCAATCTAGACTCCACATTGGACCCATTCAGTAAAAACTGCAACAGGACAGAATCAACAATAGTATGAATCTACAGTGATAAGTTTCAGACTCATTATACAAGGTACTGCACCACCAGAAACTATGAAATAATATATAACCATAAAGTTCTTATAACCAGTCAATATCCAAACAGAGACATGCAAAAACTTCTCAAGTACCAAAATGCGAAATAATTGGAAGATTGAAATGATGAGCAAACTGAAATATGTGGTTGCAATAATAATAATGTGATTCACCTTGAACATAACTATATGAAATACTAATGATTGTAGATGATGATAGAAGTTAGATTAGCTTACCATACACAAATTTGATACAAAACATATCAAAACCTATTAATTTTAAAGTGCATAGACACAAAAAAAGATACAAACATGAACACAAAGTCACAAACATACCTACAAATACCAAAAAAGCACAATTTTGGTGCCCCTAATTTTAATTGCTTATGTTTAGCCCTTGGTTTTCCAATTATCCAAATTCAAATTGAGCCCCTCATCTCAAAATTCCATACAATAAATAAAAAAGTAAAAAATAAAGAGAAGCAGAGATAAAAGGGACAAAAACCTGCTGATTTATTGGTGCTCCACCATAAGCAACAACCACCCTAACCCCAGTTTGGTATGAAAACTTTCTAGCCTCTTCATGTATCTGAAACCAAATTACAAGATTTCAAATATATTTTCATTGCAGAACCGTGCCCAATAAAAAATATGCCATAATAAAAGGTTAATATCAATAACTCACTTGCATTGATAGTTCCCTAGTTGGAGAAAGAACAAGCGCAAGCGGATGCGCTGTACGCACCCCACGAGCTGGCCTCTGTACGGGTTGGCCCCTCATAATTCCACTGATAATTGGGAAACAGAATGCAGCTGTCTTTCCAGAACCAGTCTGCGCACAAGCCATCAAATCACGTCCAGCGAGGGAAATTGGAATGGTATGCCGCTGAACAGGAGTTGGCTTCACGTATTTGCACCTTCTTATATTCTGATTAAGTGCTTCACCCAAGTCAATCTCTGCAAATGTATTCACAGGTGGAGGCACATTTTCACCACTGGTCTCCACTGGAATATCTTCATAGGCATCAAAATTTATTCCTGTATTCTCCTGCTCACTAGATGCCCCTTCTTCAGCAGTATCCTCGTCTCCAAAAGGATTGACTTCCCGCTCCCGGCCACGATCCCAGCCACTACTTTTGTTTCCCCATCCACCTGCTCGTCCACCACCACCAAACCCAGACCGATAATCATTTCTGGGTACAGGCCAACGGGATCCAGAATTACCAGCACCAGAACTAGAGCCAGCAGAACCTGAAGAAGGGTCACTATATGTTGGAGCAGGGGATTCTGCTGATGGCTGGCGATTCCTCAGATGGGGAGGAACATAAACAGGCCGCGAAGGAGCTACAGTACTACCAGTTCCCACATTGTTAGCAGAAGACCAAGTACCTGCATTTTCAGCTGCAGAATTTGCAGCCAAATCTGCCCATGAAGTTCGCATATTCAATCACAAATTCTTGTTGTCAACAGCTGTCCACAAAATTCCAAGGGAAAACCCTTCCTTTCCAGAATCGTGATAACACCATTACAAGTAGCCCCACATAAATAAATTTAAAAAAAAAAAAAAAACTGTTGATACCGATAAATACTCTTCAAAACGAACAAAAATTATCAGAACCAGCCCTGCAACACAATGGATTCCAATCAATAACCGTTGCGAACATCTTTACACCAAGGTATCATATAAAGCAGGAAGGGATTAGCAGAACACTTCAAATACAAACGAAAAAGGCACAAATATGCGTAAACACAAACTAAACAAATGAGAAGAACAAAACAATGAATGCATGAAACTAAGTTCATTCATCTGGAAATATCAAATAGACTATGGCAGAAGCAATCCTGGTCTAGAATGGCGAACCAAACACGATGTCTTTAAAAGACAAGCACGAATACAGCCGAAACAAAAACAGAGAAAGAATGGTGACAATAATAAGAATGAGCACCTGTGTAGTGTTGGGAATAAAACCCTAAAACGATGAGAGCAGTGAAGAATTAAGATCGAGAAACCCTAATTTGGTTTGGTTGCAGAAAGAGAAAGAGAAGAGAAGGCTCCTTCAGAGTTAAAACTTAGAAACAACAAAAATATCTTTTCTTTTGTACAGTAATGTTTTTCTCACTCTTACAACTTGAAACTCAAAACAGAATAAAATAAAATATTTTTATTTTAATGTAATACTCATTCTATTCTCTATTAGAAGTAAAAGAAGAAGAAAAAATTTAAATAAAAACAAATTTTATCTGCTCTCATTTAATGATATTCTCTAAAATATCATCTATTTAATGTATTACTTTTTGTTTGCACTATTTTTATTATTATTTATAATATAAAACTTTAAAAATAATAAATTAGTAAAATTTAATGTAAATAATTGATTTTTAATACAAGTAAAATCAGTATTTTGTTTTATAATAAAAATTAGAAAGAGTAGTAAATATGCATAATATATTGACAGAGAAAATCACAAAGAGGGTGAAAAAAAATCTATTATTATCTAAGTAATCATTAACTTTAATAATAATTATTTACCATTTATATTTGTTATTTAATAATTAACAATATTTTTTATTTACAAAAATTAATGTCGATTCCAAACAACTTACAATAATTCACCAATCTTATCAAACTAATTAAATTTGACTCTTTTATTAATTAATAATACAGAATCGTTTACACTAACCATACTAAAAAGAACTAATTACTTTCAAATTTCTAAAGTTGTTTAACATAACAAGTATTCATAAGTTTAAGTCGTACATGCAATACCATTTTTTTTCTTTTTTTTCTTTTTTTTTAATAGATTTTTGGACTAATTGATTTTTTTTCTTTGTAAATAAGGTTTTAAGTTTAGGTTTTAAAGATAAAAATTAAAAATATATATATATTGAAAACAAAACCTAACAAAATCAAATTTTTTAAGAAAAAATTAGTGTTTAACAAACTTAATACATACATCAACAACATGGATGAAAAAAAAAATCGCTTCAAGTATGATGTATTGTGTTCTAATTTTGTTGAAAGAGAAATAATGAGCAAGGGATTTTTTATGTTGTAAGTTTGGTGCTGACAATTTTAAAACATAATCATACTTTATATGCTGAGTTATATTTTTGTCTTTTATTTTTTAAAATTTATTTTAATCATTTATCTTTAAAAATATTTATTTTGATTATTTGTTTTTCCATTTTAAGTCAATTTAATCTCTTTAAAATAATGATTATTTTTATTTTTGAAACACAATTTTAAATTATTTTTTGATAGATTTAAAATTTAAAACTTGTCTTATTAGATTCAATCAGATGAAAATTATTAAAAATAAATGCAATTCAAACCAAAAATAAGGTTAGATTTATATAATATTTTTTTATATATCGTTTTCTCATATTTTCTTAGCATAAAATAAGGTTAGAATTTTTTTCAATGTTGTTATTAGGCTCGTATGTTTGATCATTTAATCACGAAGTTCACAACATAAATATGAACTAGAAAAAAGATAATTTATTTCACAAATTAGGCTTATCCAACTTGTTAAAAATATAGACTTTGTTGGCCAAGCACCCATCCTTAGTCGCAAGTAAATCTCCATTGTTAACAATCTCCACAACTCCACAATCTCCTCAAAAGATCACCTCCAACACCACGCTCCTACCGCACAAACTAGAGGTTCTCATGTTCATGTTGTTCCAAATAATTCATCATGACAGCTAAGGAGAGAAGAATTAAATCTTGACCAAGGAAAGTAAGGACAAAATAGAAAAAGGGAGAAAAATAAAGAAAATAAATATAAAAATTTAATAAAATATATGGACCAGATTTAAAAATAAGATAATCTAATGTTTAAAGAAAGTTTCTCACATCAAGAGACATTTTGAACCTCCCCAACATAGCTTCCTTTTGAGGAATACTAAAATACAAGTATTTGGAAGTAATCAAGAAATTTCGCTTTTAAATTTTCTTAAATGATCTTTTCCTCAATTTCAAAACACTTGCATTTAAAAAAAAAAAAAAACATATTTAGTTCAGATTTTAAAAACAAACTAATGTTATGTTTAACAATCACCTTTTCGACAACACCAATAACACCACCACCATCACTCATTATTACCATCGTTCTCACCACCGCTAATACGAATATCACCATAAACACACTTTTAAGTAATTTTAATAGAATAGATGATTTTCAAAATAAATTTATTTTAGAACTAAAAATACAAAGAAAACTGAAACTAACCTAATTGTAGTTTTAAACTTGTACAATTTAAACTGAAAACAACCAGCAAGAGGCCCTTAATAAGATATTAAAAGGACATTAAAAGAAAAATCCACTACGAATACCTAAAAATTGCCACAAACATAGAGAACATGGAACCGTCCAACAGGTATTGACTGTGTTATGACTTGAGAATTCGAGGTACACGCCGAAATAAATACAGGCATCCTCTCTTCTAAACTCTAACAAGTTAATTAAAAGACCGGCATACAAGTACATTCTTAATTCTATGATAATTTTGCACACGCTCTAGTGTACAAGGTAATAAGATAATCTTGCCCTTAATCCAGGTAAATCTCTCCCATGATATATATACGATCCAAACATAACGAATATGTTATCATACTAGTCACCCAGGCACACAAGGTATGCTCAATAGAAAGCATATGCAGTAACTTTTAGTTCACTTCAGTCACCAGTATGATATTACAAAAACCTTTGCCCATCAAAGTAGGGAAATATTGAATTCAAACATAAATTGGGTTGAAATTGAGAGAGCATGCTTGAGAGATAAGTCAGATAACCATGACCGGGTTATAACAAAAAGCTCGATTTCTCCCTTGGAATAATCTACAACCAGTCTCCCACCAAAATTACCACCCAACATGAAGGGGACAAAATGTTGTCGACAAGAAACACCTAATATGTTAGTAATCATCAATACCTAGCAACATTACACAACTTTTAATGATGTGGCAACTAGACCACATATACAAACCCCATCCCCCCACAATGATTAGCACTGTAAATAGTACAAAATGATGATGGCTTAAAACACAAGTAAATTGAAGACCTTAAAACAAGAGGGGAGAAAATTCATCCTGTAGATGTGTAACCGCACCCATACCAAAGATGGTATGTAATGCTACGAAAAAAAGAAAGTTAGTCCCATGCACTAGTGACCCCAGGACCATACCCTCCACCAGCATATCCACCAGAGCCTCCATATCCACCACTGCTGTTTCCTGCACTGTAGTAATCTGAGGAACCTCTATTGAAAGAGCCCTCTCTTCGAAAGTCGCGACTACCAAATCGACCACCTGGAAAAGATACTCTGGTAATCGATTACAAGGCTTAGTAATCGATTACAACGGTTTTTAAGTTCAAAAAATTTGAAACGTTGTATCTTTTAAATTCAAATTTTTGAAGTTCCCTCTTCTGGTAGTCGATTACAAGGTCTAGTAATCGATTACCAGAACACATTTTTGTATTTGAAATTTATAATAATAGTAACCATTTTGGAAAACTGGGGTGTTACAGAGTTCCCTTCCTTAATGGCGCCCATTGCAATTTATTTTTTCAAATTCCTATTGTTTGATTAATGATATGGTGAACATGAATAAATTAGGTGAATCTATTACACATTATATGGTGATTACAGTCTGTTATATGCCATATGTTGATACATGATGTTTAATCTTTATACCTAGGTGTAGTATATTGTATAAAGTTGATTAAATGGTTAAAAGTTGAGTTGAACTATATATTATTCAATTAAGTAACTATGTTGAGAATGTTTTGGCATTAAAGTTGTACAATGTTAATCAACCTAAGACTAGAGGAGAAGTTATTTATAAAGTTGCATATCTCATTGTGAGGATATTGTGTTGTGGTGTTTTAAGAACCCAAATTGTTGAAAACCCTTCTTGAGAAGTTAAACCTTGAAGTGGATAGTTATGTCTCCTCCAAGACTTTAGTTGATGCGGTATATGAGCCAAGTTGAGGCATACTGACTATAAGCAACCATTGTTGATCCGTTTGTGGGAAAGGTTGATACATAAATAAAGTGACCAAATTAAAGTAAAGTACAAAGTCGAGGGCCAAAATTCCTAACTAAGTACTGGAAGGGTGTAGTATTTGGAAGGTAGTCGGCGAGCTAATCTTATAGGTGGTTTAGTTATGTTAGCTAATGTCGTGGTAGACTAAAACCCAAGTTATTCTACGCTGATTGAAATACTATACTTCCTAGTTTAAGTGGCAAAATCCGAGAAACCATGTTGTGTTATGGATTTTATTTGAATTGGCTGTTGATTTAGCTGGATTAAAAATATTGAATTGTTGATGTGTGTATGTTGTGTTGTGAACATATTGTGTCATATGGTTGATGAGTTGAATTATGTTGTTAAGTTGTAAGTTAATGAAATGTTGAAGCATGTTGAGTTGATTGTGCTGATAGTATAATAGGATTTACTTCTATACTTTTATGTTGATTCTTTTGAATACTAGCTTATCCTTATATGTTTTTAATATAGTTAAATTATGATGATCATACTTGATATGAAAGTTGAGCAAAAATAGATTCTTAGTAGAGTTCTTTTGAAGCCATGTTGGCGATGCCAATGCTATTCTTTAGGGCTACTTCAGAGTAGTTAGTCTAGTAGTTGTTAGTTGTTGCTTGACCAGCAACTTAGAGTTATATATTATAATTTTTGAATTACTATATATACATGTATGTATACTTATATAGTGTTTTAGTTGTTGGTATAAATTTTGTACACACACACACAAACATATATATATATATATATATATATATATATATATATATATATGTGGAGGGCTCACACAACACAGGTGTTTTTTTTATTTTGTG